AAAATAAAGAGCCAAATAGCAATCAATAATTAATCTCTGAGTTGCATTTATTAAAATCGCTATAATAAATGTGCACATGTAGAAAAATTATACTATCTGCAATATTATTTGAAACATATATAAATTGCCTGTTTAATATATAAAATAATAACCATATTTCAAATCGCAATACCTTTATAATGAATTTTGATAAATAGGCAAAATATTAATTTCTACCATGCTCTATGTTTAAAATTAATATTTAATAAATAGGAAAGTTTTCATTTTGCAAAATAACATAAATAAATAAAAAACTTAAGTTAGTTGCGCCATTAGTAATTTAAGAACGGCTAGACTTCATCTCATGAATAACTCTTAAAATATCAGAAAGATTCACGACAAAAAATTACACTTAAACTTTTAAATTAATTAGATTTAGGACTCCGTCACGCAGGCTTATGGCTTCTTTATAATCATTGATATCCACTGCATATCAGTGACATAATACACAATATAGGAAGGAAATTCAACGGAAAATAGTAGGAAAATAGTATATTCAAATCTAGAAAGGTAATGAAAACTGATTATAGAAAATACTTCGCAATGTAAACAAAAATATAGAGAACAAATGATAACTGCCAAATCGATTGGTCTCACCATCATTCCATATCATTTGGTTCATTCATTATCTGTACCAACAAAACTGACACTAAACTCTCACTTCAGTTGACTGTTATGCGGCCAGCTAGTTTACACCAAAATAAAGTTTAGTAATTTTAAAATACTATACTTTTAGTAAGATTGTGTTTGGAGGCACGAATAGGTACTTCTGTTAATCTGGTGGCGATTTCGTTTTTGATTGCAATGCACACGCTATGAATTCTCATGTTTATTACAGGGTGACCCTTCCAAAAGAAGGTGTAATGTTCCTCAGTGAGACTACCTTCATCCGCAAAGCTAATTATGATGCTAATACGAGCCCTAACAGCTAAATCTTGGGACTTCGGAAAAGTGTCCGCCAGGTGCATGCGAAAACTACTCGCTTTGTGATGTCATTGTAGTCCTTGTCATGGTTATTAGTCCTTGTCCGGCAACCAATAATACACACACGTGCATTATTGGTTGCCGAATGCAAAACGTTCATTATTTAGTTTATTTATTTAAACATCTTATATGTATGCAGTATAGAAAATTAACTGTATAAATCGTATTAAATACTCGGATAATGCATTTTTAAGAACAGCAGTTCCCATCATCACCTTTTGCAAGCATTCTTTTTAAAGTACTTCCATATTTTGCTTTAAAATAATTAATAAACAATATCGTAGGCACTTAGTAAGCACCTTGTCACAAGACACAACACAAAATGATCGTAATTATACACTCTATAGCTCTAAAAACTTTAAAAACACCTTTTTCACATTTATAATTGACAAAATAATTAACTCAAAATTTCTCAGCTGTTATTTTGATAAGTTTACCATAGGCAACTAGAATACACACTATCATGACAAGGACTACAATGACGTCACAACTGTCAGCTGAAGCGCGTCTTATGAGGATGAGCAATCCTATTAGTTTACTGTTCTTGGCACAAACAAAAATTTATTAAAAACCTTTATTTTCATAAACTGAATTTTTTGCATTTAAGAAATAAATTAAAAATATATTAAAATCTAACATTTCTAACGAGTATTTAAATAGTTTAGTTTCTATAAACATTAAAATAAACTGTAGGCCAATAAATAAACAAAAATATTGCACAATATCGTGACAACTAAATGTTCGGACACTTTAAAAAAATCTGTTCTAATATGGCGTTACATCGGCATGAACTTTTGCAACCACTGCATGCCTATTTGGCATTGTTTTTATTAGTGACTGACATGTGCCAGAGTAAAAATTTTGCCATAATTCACTTAATATCATCGTCAAATGGGCAACGGCTTCTTGGGGATCGTGGCACAATTTTTGTTTTGTTTTATGCCACATGTCTCGATAACATTAAGGTCCGGACTGTGCGAAGGCCATGAGGGGACCTTGATGTTCATGTCCCTAAACCATTTGTTAGTAGTTTTAGCCATATGGCATGTCCCGCCATCCTGTTGAAATATAAAATTCATATCCTGGTGAAGGTCTTTCGCACATGGCATAAAACTGTTTTTCAAAATTTCTTGATATTTTGACACATTAGTTGTGCCTTTCTACCACCTCATACCTTCCTAGACCCATTGCGGGCATAAACTCTAAAAGCATAATGTCTTTAGGAAATTCCATTGTCCATCTTTCATAAAGATCGTGTATGCGTGCAGATGTAATCCTTGAACTTGCAGTTTGCGATTAGAATTAACAGCGAAACTACAACTACAAAAATTACATTAAGGTAAAAAATTTAATTATTTCCCAATCCGACGCTAATAATTCCAATCGCAAATGGCAAGTGCACGGATTACATGTGCACATGAGTCACCTTAATATCGATACAATAAATATAATCGAACACCGCTAGAGTGTCTGTTTGATAAAGATTCCCTCAAAAGGACAGTGAAATTTCCTGAAGGCATTATGATTTGAAACAGGTTTGCAGTGGTTGCAAAAGTTCATGCCGATGTAACGCCATATTAGAACAGTTATTTTTTAAAGTGTCCGAACATTTAGTTGTCACGATTTTGTGCAATCTTTTTGTTTATTTATTGGCCTACAGTTTAAAACACTAAATCACCACAATACACCAAAACACTTTTACTTTTACACTGGACGCGCGTTTCGCTAACCATATTAGCATCATCAGTAGATGATTATAAACTCTTTAACGTTAACTTTAGTTTTATACATGGTTAGCGAAACGCGCGTCCAGTGTAAAAGTAAAAGTGTTTTGGTGTATTGTGGTGATTTAGTGTTTTATTTTGCTGTGTAACACCAAAGGTTCCAACCCTCAACTGTAGAATAGAAGAGAATAGAATAAGTGGGAGGGGGGTTAATCTCTGCGACCTTAGAGATCTATTGTGTCCCCCTTACTTGAGTTATAACTCATCATACAGTCCCAGGACTTCCTACGGAGACCCGTGTCCCTCACAGTCGAGGAGCTACGACCCAGGCCGGGTAAACGAAACGGTAGCTTGTGTCGCCTGTTGGGTTTAGAGGTAGGAGGTAGGCTCCCGACCCTTGGAGGAGGTGGTAGCTTGTATGCCACTTACGGAGGATGGTCTCACGCAAGTGTCAGCCACCTCTCCTGTAGTTCTCTTTGGGTTTGGCCCCTTGGAACTTTCATTGTTACTGTTCCCAGTGTCGCTAGGGGGTTTCCCCACAGCTTCACCGGTGATGTTTTTATTACTATTATTATCAGATCTCATAGTGTTCCTATGAGTCGCTAAGGTCAGTCGGTCCACTTCTACAGAGCCCCGCATGTAGAAGTAAGGGGTAAAATACAATGGGGTGCCCCCCGGTGCCCCAAGGTTGAGGCTGTCCGTAGCCCCGCCCGGTATCGTTATATGTCTTGGTGCAATTCCCTGGCCACGACACTACAGTCAGGGACAAGACGATGAGTGAGATGCTTCTTAGACCAAGCCAAGTGCTAGAGGGGATTCCCCCCAGCACCTGCCCAGGAGCTTCCCCACCAACGACAAGGTCTTGCATCTCCTAGGGGAAGAACCCTCAACTGTAATCGGCCTACAGTTTATTTTAATGTTTATAGGAACTAAACTATTTAAATACTCATTAGTAATGTTAGATTTTAATATATTTTAAAAGTATTTCTGAAATGTAAATAATTCAGTTAATGAAAATAAAAATTTTTAACAAATTTTTGTTTGTCCGAACATTTAGTTGTTAGGGCTCGTATTGTTATAAAAACGCGCATTCTGTGTTAAATATAAATGTTTTGATGTATTGTGGCGAATTAGTTTTTATTTTGCAAAAATAACAGCCAAATTAACAGTTTCTTTGTAAATTTTCAGATTTTTTTTATTTTCAGCAAGAATATTGCACATTATTTTCTACAAGCCTTGTTTTTAGTTCTTACAGAATGCGTAAAAATTAAGCATTATACGCGTATCAAATTTTTATTTTCTTTTTCATTTTTGCTTTTCAACAAAAGCTCTCAATTTCTAAGGAAAATAAGTCCTTTATAACAAGTATTGATATCGGAAATTTGACCTTCTCGAACGAAATATGAAATATTCAATATATTTTTCCTGTGGCAAGATTTTTCACCCTCTTTAAGACTGTATATTATATAATATTATATTTCTAACCATGTTTTCTTAACTTCATATAACATATACTAAAAAACATTTTAAATATATTATTTTACTTTTGTTTATCAATTTTTGAAATTTTTCGTTTAGTTTTAGATTTGAAATCAAATTATCAGAACGCATTTGATATGATTTTAAAAAATTGGCGCCGGGAGGCACGTATTAACATACTAAAATATATTAATAAAAAGTTGGTAGGCAGTTCTTTTAGTTTCAAAGTAAAGGAATTTTTCCAATTTTTTTTATCTAAAAAACTGCGACTTTGACTGATTTTGATGTTATTGCAAATTTTGTTGCAAATATTATTCCTAATCTTAAATTGAAAACTAGCTACTGTAATTTTGGAGTTACGATTTTTTTTAATTTTTAACCCCCTCCCATACCCCCTTACCAACCCCTCACCCCCACCAAAAACTAATGGCCAGATTCTCGGATGCCACAGTATTTTTGTGCCAAATTTGGTTAAAATCGGTTTAGCGGTTTTTGAGTTATCGTGTTACAGACGGACAGACAGACAGACACCATGAAAATATTTTGTATTTAGGTCATTTATGACCCAAATAACTCATTTTGAGTGAAATTAAAAAACCTTTTTTTTTGCTGATCTTAATAGCCTACCATACCTGTTGGTATGGTCGGCTAAAAAAGTCAGATTATGTATTTGTAAAGAAGTAAAATCACTTTAACATTTCTCAAATAAATAATTCATAATTTATAATGATATGATATTCATTTCTATGTATTTTAATTTATGAATTGTTTCAGATCAGACATGATAGTTCGTAGTATAGGCAACTCACTTATGGTGATACTACCTGATCTCCTAGGAAAGAAAATTACGAATTGGTTCGACCTGGTACGACCTTTGACGCCTTTTAAATTTAGTTCGGTAAGTTTCATTCTTAGAATTATTTTAAAACTCATATTATTGATAATAATATATATTTTTTCTCAAACGTCACAAAGTATTAATTTTTGATTGATTTGAAAGTATTAATTGTGATTGACAGTATGAAACAGCCATTCTGACGCCTAGGTAAAAGTTAAACACTTTTACGTCTAAAAATATGAAAATGTATTAATACTAACATACAGTTTCAAATTCTATATTATTTGCGACGTTTGAAACTTTAAAAAAATATTTGTGGACGTTTGAAAAAATATCATGTTATATTCGGAGTAAAAATTAACGTCCAGACTCGCTAAAAATAGTCATATTTTTATTCCTAATTAAACAATTAAGCAAGTTGTATATTTTTGTGCTAATTTTATTTAATAGTACCAGCGACTTCGTTCGCGTCGAATTAATCATTTGTAATGGTGATGATAAAGCAAAGCAAGAATTTCCATTAACATATAAACTGGATAAAACTTTCTCACATTTATGTCAGCATGAGAAAAAACAATATGGCGATATTATTATATAACTTGGTAATATTTGAGGGGTAGTTTTATCTCGTTGGAATTTGACTTTCGAAAAATCCGTTTGCGAAAAATAAGCTTTTTACGTCAAGTAGTTTAAGCAGAATCGTGGTTAAGAAGTTACCCAACTTTTTGGAACACCCTGTATGATTTTAAAAAAAAAAATCAAAATATGTAAAAAAAAACAAATAAAATTATGCTTGTCCAAGCGTTTTCCCGAAAGACTAAGCGTTTTTTAAATAACAAATATTGTAATAATTTTTTTCGTTTATATCATTTTGCGTTTTCACCCTCTTGGAATTTGAGGTTCGAGAAACCCCTCCTTATCGAACCTCTACACCCCACAGTCAATCCGTTTGCCAAAAATCAGCTTTAAACGTCAAGCAGAATCGTGATTACTCAATGGTCATATTTTATGAAACACCCTGTATAAATTTATAAAAAAATTTTAACATATGTAAAACAACAAAATAAAATATACGTGTTTGAGAGTTTTTCCGAAAAACTCACCGGTTTTTAAGTAAAAATTATTTTATTATTTGAGGGATAGTTTCACCCCCTTAGAATTCGAGTTTCGAAAAATCCCTTCTTATCGAACCTCTACACCCTAAAGTCAATCTGTTTTCCAAAATCAACTTTTTACGTCAAGGGCTTTAAGCAGGATTGTGATTAATCAATGACCAGATTTTTTGAAACACCCTGTATACATTTTTAAAAAATCTTAAAATATGTAAAGAAATAAAATAAAATATACGTGTTTAAGCGTTTTGTCGGAAACTTGACCGTTTTTTAAATAAAAAATATTGTAATATTTGAGGGGTGGTTTCACCCTCTTGGAACTGGAATTTTGAAAAATCCCTTCTTATCGAACCTCTACCAAAATTGAGCTTCTTACGTTGAGTGGTTTGTGCAGGATCCTGATTAATCAGTATGTCTCAGTCACTTAAGGATTTTATATATCAAAGTATAGATATATTTATTACATACGGTATATAAATATTTCTAGAAGAAAAATCGAGTACTTTCCAGAACTCTGTTTAATTTCTGGTAATTAGAACTAATATTTATATTTCCAATCAAACTGAAAACAGAAATTAGTTTTTCATTAATAGAGCGTTTTATCAAGAGACTTGTTTACTGTTTGCTTATTGAGCGGATGAAATTTCAGTAGTATTTAAAATTAGAGGTATAATTAGGTGTACAGGGTGGGCCAAACTGGACCCTTTTTAAAGGGAAATACTTTTTTCTATAGGAGATAAACGAAAACTGATAATAATAAGTAATAAGGGATTCAAAGCCTACTAGTTAAAATAGCGAACTTTTAAAAATTCATGCTTGCTTCATCTACGTTACCGTAGATGGAGCTGAAGGCTCCATCCATCTATGGTAACGTAGATGAAGCAAGCATGTTTGTCCAGTAGACCGCTGGTTTTATTTTTTGTTTTGTACTCATTGTTTACAGGGTGGGCCAAACTGGACCCTTTTTAAAGGGAAATACTCTTTTCTATAGGAGATAAACGAAAACTGATAAGAATAAGTAATAAGGGATTCAAAGCCTACTAGTTAAAATAGCGAACTTTTAAAAATTCATGCTTGCTTCATCTACGTTACCGTACATGGAGCTGAAGGCTCCATCCATCTACGATAACGTAGATGAAGCAAGCATGTCTGTCCAGTAGACCGCTGGTTTTATTTTTTGTTTTGTACTCATTGTTTTGTACTCAAATGCTTATTCTCTGCTTTTCGTTTGTCAGATTGAGGGTTACAGCAAAGTCGGCCTGACCATAGAGATAAATCTCCGAAACCGGTCGTCGAATGGCTGTTCCCCTCAGTCTGATGAACTTAATGCAGAGAATGAGCATTTGTAGGGTTTTTTGGGCCTTAATTTTCTGCTTCTTGTATTTTGTTTATTTTTAAAAATTCTATATTTCGAAGGGGACTATAACAAAATGTCAAGTGTGATATGTTTTTGGAAAGATAATTTTAAGTTCTTTTCAGTCAGAGAATAGGTACATTAAAGAAATGCTAACTTCATGTTAAAAAATGGAAACAGACGCCACCTGATGTAGCCGGGCAGTACTAGCTAAATTGAGGGGAATTGGAGGGGCTTAAAAGAGGGGAAATTTAAAAAAATATATTTTTATTAGTATCACTGATTTACTGTTTAAAGTTAATAAACATATTTTTTATTACTTTAATATAATTTAAAGTATTAAAAAATATGTCTATTAACTTTACACAGCAAATCAATGATATTATTAAGAAAGACTTATTATTTTCAGAGAAAATTCATAGTAAATAAATTACACATTTAGTAAACAATATCATTTATTTTTTAGACCTTCGATTTATATTACAATAATATTGAAATATATATATATTTTTCAACAATGAAAAAGAATATCCCGGAACCTAAAAAAGAAAGATGACCAATTAATGACTTAAATTAGTTCAAAATACATTTTGCAAATAACTAATGAATTGGAAAGATAAACATACTATTAAAATTACATTTGAATAGTACGTTATCATCTATTTACTGATAATACATAAGTATATAATAAATAACATGCATAAGGCACTATGATACAACTACCTGTATCATGATAATACACTAATATCACAAAAAATATATGCTAATTTAAATTCCTTTAATGATCTAATGAAACACTATCTAGCCTCAATGCATGCCATTCCAAAGGCAAAAAAACTATTATACCAAATAAATATAAGCTGAATAAAACATAAACTAAGCCAACGTGCATCAAAAAATACTTTTATCAAATCATACCCTTGGATATATTATGTATTTTATATATCGCACATCCCGTTCAAAAGTTTACTAACTCAAAATAGAGAACATTGTCAGGAGAAGTAAAAGAAACTTTAAGTTAAGACAATATGCTCCTTTTTGCATATTAATGGCCAAATAATATAATGTTGATTTAATAAAATTTTGCTGGCATCCTTCTGAGATATAAATCAGATTAAAAGGACATTATTTTTGTAATAATTGTTTGTTTTGTAAACGTTTTTTGGATACAATACAGTTTTAAACGGGCTGTGCGATATAAACAAGGATCTTACTATTATTTGATGTTAGAAAGTATTTAAATAATATAAAACATAATCAAAATCATTTTTCACCTTAAATTATAGAGGTACTTACGTGTTTTGAAATTATTATCAGGAAATAATACGTCTAGTTAAACAGGTACGCTGCCAGGCAAGTTCAATCGGCGGGTCTTTGCAAAAGTTGAAAACTAAAAATACGTTAACATCTTAGTTGTATTTATGAATAAAGTATTTGTATTAAATTTCAAAACTTACCAGTTAACTGAATAATCACATTAAATACATCCAAATGGTAATTTAATATTGTAAAAAAGCAAAATTGTTTTAAATCACTTGACAGGACAGCCGGCCAGCTTCTTTGTTGGCAAAATGGCCGCGGTATCATGATTTAAGCAATGTGAGTGACAAAGAAAGCCAATGCCTGGCAGATGTTGCTTTCTTTGTCGTTTATCCTGACACGTTTAAATTTGACTGTTGCCTGTTTTCCCATACAAGTGACACCCCCGTGTTTTCAGTTAATTAAGAATATACAGGGTGTCTCCAAATATATTCCTTTAAAAGCGTTCAATTTGACCTACCCTGTACACCGCGGTTAATATACTTTCTGTTGTATTGCCGACTCGAACATTGGAAATCCCATGCAAATTTCAAAACATAAGTAAAAGTTCCTCAAATATTTTATTTTACTGACAAGTTTATTTAAAACTTTTTAAACTATTATTTTATTATTTAAATTTAATAATGTAAGATTACAAATATGTCGATAATAATTCATAATTAAAAATTATGCATAATTAACTTAATTTTATTTATTTTTTGATGATAATTTATTTAATAATAATGAAATTAAATATAAACGTGAGTTCGTTAATTAAAGAGGTTTTTATTAAGATCCTAACATTTAAAAGCGTTTAGCCAGAACAAAAATAAAATTAAAAATGTAAACTTAATTAAAGAATAAACTTTGAAGAATGTCCTCTAAATAAATGTGTCGTCAGAGGCAAAAAACATTATATTATATTTCTATAATAAATTTAAACTTTTATTATTCTAATTTCTTGAGAAATAGGAAACTATTGTCTCTGGATAAATTTCTAAGCTTATAAATTCAAGTGGTGCTATTCTATAGCAGTAATTTTACTAAATCCATTCGACAATAATACCATTCGAAATAGCATCAAGTGGTTATCAAATAAAGAGATAAATTACTGTCTAGGGCGCTGTGAATTTTATTGTTCTCGGTTTCAATTTATTTGTTCGTCCACAGAAGATGATCTGTTAAGTTCTATAGAGTGGAGTCAGTAAAATTGGCTGGAAAAATATTTTTTCAGTAAATAAGAAATAGCATGGCAACACTGCATAGTGCTTTAAATAAGAATAGTGTAATATACGGGCACCGACGAAATAACATTGTTATTTTGCCGGTGCTGGATATACGCAGAATTTTATGCTTAAGCCAATTCTGTGCAGGAGGTTGCAATTTAAATAATCTTACATAATTATTTTTATGAGGCGCACTGTGTACAAGATATTTTTAGGATATGCATCTTATAATATTAATCACCAAATATTAATCATCGAAGACAATTTCTCTTCTCCATATGTCACCATAGCCATGTCAAAAACCTATATAATCGTTACAGACTGAATAGCTTTGTTTCAGATATTGAATAGGACCAATAATATCTTCGAATTGGTAACGGTGGAGCCGATCCTCAACGATAACCCCAGCAACCATCAGGAACTGATGCTGAGCGACGAAATCGACAACTTCGAGGACAAAAATCTACGACTGAAAGGTAAGCAACTCGCACAAATAATATAATTGAGCGTCCTTAGCGCGTGGCCGCGGGCAAGCGAGACAACGACGCACAGTGCTTCGAACATATGGCTCTAGAGGACAAAAATCAAAAACTTCTCTTTTATTGTAAGCAATTTATTCAAACTAGGTTTATTTGAGACAAATGATGAGTACTCTCATTGTACTAAATGATGATGTTCTTAGTCCCACGTTTATGAAAAAAAAATCTTATAAATAATAATAATGTTGGAGCTGTGTTCCATCTAAGCAAATAATAAGTTATAGTATGAAAACGGTGTAAGTATTAAATAAATTCCTGTGATAAAAAAGAATTGAAATAACATTAGAACATGATTCCTACAAAATAAGCCTAATATAAGATAAAAATGTTTTTCTTTAATGAAAAAGAAACATTAATGTTATATTTAATTAAAAAAAAACTTAAGATACTATAAATTTACTTTAGGACAACAAAATGCATAGATCGTAACTACTCTGATTCAGGAGAATCACTGCTGACAGAATCTTCTAAATTTATAGTATCTAAATCACAGGTAGATGAAGTATCCTCACATATAAGATATTTCTGTACATCATTTTCTAATATGTTACTTTTTCGCGTTGTTACTGTTCATTTTGTCGGTATGAGGGGTTCGGATGTTAATAGTTACCTCTTTAATAGACCATATGCATATATTATTTTTTCCTTTTCTTGGGTATGAGATTTTATAATAAACTGAAAGATGGACACTTTTTTTATTCGACGTTTCGCTCCAACATAGTGGACTTTTTCAGGCACAAGTGGTGTCTCATTTGACTGGAAGGTTCATCAATATCTAATAAGAACATATTTTTTGAAATACTAATAATTTTGAGTTCTTGTCCTTATGATCAAGCCAAGTATTAGCCAGATCGGCATTGCTTATCAATCTTACTCCATCTGAAAAGTATTATAAAATAAAGTTCGTCGCAAGCAGACGCAGGTGAACTATACAAAAATTAAAAGTGTATGAATATGGCAACAAAATATTCAATAAATACGATATGTTTTGATATGTTTTTTTTTAAATGCCTTTTTGAAGTTTGAAAACGTAAAATTTTTATACCCATTTAAGAATCATCTTAAAAAATAAATAAAAAATAAACAATCACGAACTTGTTTAGAAATAAATTTAAAGTACATACCTTGTTTAACAATATCCATAGTGGCTTTCAATTAAGTACGTACCCGTTTAACTCCATAATATACAGAACTACTATGAATGTTGTTCTTTTCACTGATGAGATAATAATCGCAAAATTTATTTTTAGTGAAAATATTTGCTAACAAAAACGCTGTTTATGAAAAATAATATACAGGATGGTTGAACATTGCTATAAGCATAAAATTATATATTCAGATATTAGTAAATTTTAACTTATTTTTTGATTTTTGTCCATGTGACGAAGCACTGTGCGACGCGCCGATTTAACAAAATAAATAATTTTAAACCTGCCGTTATTTCGTTAATAATTATCGTAGCGTGTTGATTTTTGCATAGAAATACTCATGAGTCTTTAGCGCTTCCGACAAGCCTAAATAACTGGATTATTTTTTATATTTTCGATTTGTTTACATTGCCCGAGCATATTATAACTTTGAGATAAAAATCTCTGTTATAAATTTTAAAAGTGACAGATATAAATGCTATAATTTAATTAGTTATACATTTAGTGACAACATATTCAAAATTTAGGTCTATCGGTTTATGCTAGCAGTAATAACGAGTATAAATAAAAAAATGGTCAGTACAACGCTCGCCGTTATTAGCGCACGTTCAGCTATTTTTACAGAAAATAAATTCTGAACTTTGATCAAATGAGAAGAACATTATCATTGCCGATATCTGCTGGTTATAATGTAGTTCTTTTTTCAAAATATTGCATTGTTTTAGCTTAAAAAAAACTTGAATTATGCGGCTTTTTTGCGACAGCTACCGGTGCTGCGCTAATAAAGAGATGGCTATGTACGTCAATCGAAAGACAGTATTTGCGATAGTCTTTTGTTTACACGGAGTATAGAAAATTTTTGCCACAGCTTGTTTACTACCAGTAGTATTTGTGCGATTTTTTAAATTATTTATTATTAAATAGAGGGAAATGCGACCGAAAAGAAAGGTCAAAAGTTAGTAGAAATCAGGATAAATGGAAGTACAATATTTCCAAAAAATCTCGTGACGAGGTAAAATTACAGTCTATTGTGGCTATGATTGACGTACATAGCCATCTCTTTATTAACGCATAATTCAAGTTTTTTTTAAGCTAAAACAATGCAATATTTTGAAAAAAGAACTACATTATAACCAGGAGATATCGGCAATGATAATGTTCTTCTCATTTGATCAAAGTTCAGAATTTATTTTCTGTATAAATAGCGCTAAAACTAAAACCAAAGCTGAACGTGCTCTAAAAACGACGAGCGTTGTCCTGACCATTTTTTTATTTATACTCGTTATTACTGCTAGCATAAACCGATAGACCTAAATTTTGAATATGTTGTAACTAAATGTATAACTAATTAAAAGACAGTATTCATATCTGTCAGTTTTAAAATTTATAACACAGATTTTTAATGTTAATAATGTTTTCAAAGTTATAATATGCTCGGGCAATGTAAACAAATCGAAAATATAAAAAATTATCCAGTTATTTAGGCTTGTCGGAAGCGTTAAAGACTCATGAGTATTTCTATGCAAAAATCAATACGATACGATAATTATTAACGAAAGGACGGCAGGTTTAAAATTATTTATTTTGTTAAATCGGCGCGCAACAACGCGTACTGCCTACTAGGCTGCCTGCGGCCACGCGCTAAGTGTGCGAACACAGTGCAAGCAGGTTTGCCGCTTACCGGTAGTCGGCGTCAATCTGGGTACCTATTCTTGACATCGTTCGCAACTTTGCGTATACGCATCACGTGTATTGTTATAAATAGGGTATCCCAGAAATAAGTGCAAGTATTTTAAGGGGTGGTAGATCTCGATTAGAGGTGGGAATTCTAGTTCCTTGGGAGGAACTAGTTCCTTAGTTCTAATTCCTGCAGAGGAATAGTTCCTTGAACTAGGTCCTTAGTTCACAATAGTTCCCGACTAACATTGACATCCCCGTTGCTTGCTAATGGATTCGTTTTCAGTCAGAACTATTCAACCCCCAGTTTACTATTCAAAATTATACAGATCATTATAATTTTTATAATGTACGAAATATAAGAAGACGTGTAATTGCATATGTTAAAAACATATAGGTAAGTTTTATAGCAGATAAAAAAATTAAAGAAACTCAAATCAGAGTTTAAAAACTATATCACAAATCAATTGGAGGAGATAATACGAAAAATTTACGAAAAAATGTATTTTTCCTCACTTCAAGCTTTTTGTTTTTGTCTAAAAATTCAGAATATCTACTTCGTTTTATAAGATATTATTTAGTTTTAGGGACCTAAAGTGAAACATTCCAATAAAATATTTAAAAAACAAAGTAAAAATCAAAAACAATATCCACCACAATTTCCTGTGGTAATTACGCCGCGCCGGCTGTGGCAATAGACAGTCGCCTTGTATTATATCGAGGATCTGCCGACTTAATAGATTCCCGTGAACTAGTCTTTTAATAGTTCCTCTATGTCCGGATCCGATAACATACGGCTGGCTCTCCCCACTCCTGCCTACCATCGGGCTACGCGCGCTAGCCGATCTGTCGCCGTCGCATATTATTCTATATCGGTCCAGTCTCGATCCCGGAACAGGTCCTGAGGAACTAGTTCTTTGAGAAACCAGGAACTAGTTCCTTTCATTCCGGGGTCGGAATAGTTCATTGGAACTAGTTCGTTCACGAACTACACACCTCTAATCTCAATAAAAGAAACATATTTTCTCTTTATCGTTTTTCAAATAAGTCCAAAATAACAGAGTTATTTTGAAGATTTCCAAAAAAAAATTATTTTTTGCTAAAATTTTGAGAACAACTGGATCTTTTCTGGATTTTCTTTCTTGTAACTTTAATCTACTACCTATGTTGCCATATTATCAAAAAATATTTTTTTTAAATAAAAACTAAAAAAAATTCCAAAAAAATTTTCAAAAAATTCGGAATTTTCAAAAAAAAATTATTTAGAAAAAACCTCATAGGCGTGTTTCTGGGGTTGAACTATACTACCAGTTAAGTTAAAATACTTGCACGTATTTCTGGGACACCCTGTATATGGGTACATAGTAGCGCCGCGCCGCGCCGCCTCGCGCTTATAACCTTGAAAAATTAAAGCGTGTTATCAAATCGGCTAGTTCACAGTGAAAGCAGGTAGGCGCCGTCAACCAGCGTTCATCGGCGTTCTCGCTTTTACCGGAACGAAAATTTATTTATTTCTGCTTTTGCACGCGCCGACGGCGCACAGAGCGTATTAAGAACTAAAAGTTGGCCAAAATTATGTTTTATGATTTTTTTGCTTTTTTGCTAGTAATATTAATTATTAGTGGAGAGGGTGCTAATATGGAACCCCATTTTGTTTTTCCTACACAATATTTTTTCCTCTACTCTGAAACCCTTTTCACCGATCAAATAGGGCCATTCTGTGCAAAACCAAGCAATTGGATGAGGATGCTAGAACAAGAAAGTAATTTGTATATTATAGACGATATTTGAGCGAGGATGGGTGTTTTAGGGTAAAGACTATTTCCTTTAAGAATCTATTTAAATCAATGTTTTTTTTGGTAGTGGCAAATATTGGCAAGATTTTTGTACATATTCCAAAGCTGGAGACTTTAAGCATTGAACGGATACTAATTTGCATGCGGAATATTGCCGAATAGTCTTACACCTTATAAAAATGCCTCTGATTTTTTAAATAAAAAACATTATAAAGAAATAGAATAGAAGGAAACGTTTCAAAATAAAAATTTGGCATAAAACAGGACTTGCCAGCTGGCTCTGTATCCATCATGACAGTTATTATAAACAATTTGC